AGCAAATAAGCTCATGATCGTTCCATCCTTTCCCATTTCTCCTTATGAGCACCATCATCATTATACTCACCATCATCGTTGCCTGTCTCCCATCCGAGTCCCATCCGGCACAAACAAGTCCCCACCATGGCCCGCCTGCGACCCGCGTCCTTCTGACATAAACGAGACACCCCGAACCAGAATCCGATTGAAACCGTAGCCAGAAGCGTTTTTAAGTTCTAGTCATTGCAAGCACAGCCACAAGCAAAGCCAGAAGACAACGTACCAAACACAACGTGAACGCACGCGACCACACATGCAAAATGAGGCCTACGTTACACGCCCCCCTGGAAGGCTGAAGGCAAGTCAAATGCGAACGATCTCCGGTAATTTCAAGGCAATAGCAAGGTAAGTTGAGGCAAACTAATGCAGGACAAAACAATCGCCATCCTACATCATCATCATCATCACCACATGCCTTCAGTAGCTAGGTGGGTTCGAGACTCAGGCCATGATCGTTCGGCTGCCCACGGACCCCAGGGGAGGGGGCATGTCAGAGACAGGGCCTCAGCAGAGGCCAGAGAAGCTGAGGAGGCTGTGCGCTGGCGATACGCTGGTCGAGTCAAGCTGGCGCCAGGGCGATGCGCTGGTCGAGTCAAGCTGGCGCCAGGGCGATGCGCTCGTCGAGTCAAGGTCATCCCCACCCCCCGTGATGCGACAGGAGCTGGCCAACCTGATCCCGTCGTCGAAAAGACTGAGGCTGGTCCAGTTCATGCTCAGACCCTTGACATAGCTCATACTGGGCAGGGCGATAATCAGAGCGAGCAAATGTGCCCCCGATGACATAGCCAACCAGCCGCAGTTCGAACCGATGATGGCCTTCCAGGACATGCAGAGCCAGCCGCCGATCGATGGGAGATGCCCCGATGACATGTTCAGCCAGCCGTTGTTCCCGTGCACGAGTGGCCCCGAGGACGTGCCAGGCCAGCCGTTGGTCGAGCCGAGGAGTGGGCTGGAGGGTGCGCATAGCCAGCCGAGTCCGATCGATTCGAGGAGTGGCCCCGAGGATATGCAGAGCCAGCAACTGTTGGAGCCGAGGGCTAGGCCAGAGGACATGCAGAGCCCGCCGCAGATCATCGACTCGAGCCCAGAGGGCCCAGAGCACGCCCCTGCGCAGTCGTTCTTTCTAGAGTACGCATCTGCGCAAAATTTGTTGTAGAGGACGGCTTCCCCGAAGAGCCAGAAGGCAGTTTCTTTGAAGGGCCAGCTCATCTGGCCACCGCTTGGCACGTCCAAGGACACAGCGAGCCATCGCCCCCGCGCGATTACGGTCCCGTCTTGCCGATCCTCGGGGGTGAATATATATATATATATATATATATATATATATATATATAAAAAAGTATCATGGACCAAAGATCATCTTCTTCCTATTCGCACGCTCTTCAAAGCAGAAGTGATGATAAAATGCAGCGACGGCCCGTCCGATATCATCCTCCCCCGTTCCCTTCACCACATATCCTCTTCAGCCTCTTGATCCTCCTATTGGCCGTATTGAAGCCATCCTGGGCCATCGTGAAGCCATCCTGCCATTTTGGAGCCTTTTGGCCGTCTTGAAGCCATCGCGAAGCCATCCTGAGCCATCTTGAAGCCTTTTGGCCGTCTTGACGCCATCGTGTGGGGTGAGGGCGCACATTCGCATCATTCTTGCAGGTTCGGCGCGGAGGGGGCCCCAACGACACTGGAGCGACACTGGAGCGACACTGGAACGACATTGGAACGACATTGGAGCGACGCTGGAGCGACACTGGAGCGACACTGGAGCGACAACGGGGCCTCTGGAGGCTTGGAGGGACATCGATGACGGATGGATGGTGACGCCAAGGGGGTGAATGAGGAAATGAGGACCCCGAAACGCGAAAAGGAGGGTTAGGACCCCAGGAGGGCCCCCAGAGGCATCTTGGGCACCCTTGGGCCGTCTTGGAGGCCATCCTGGACCATCTCGGGCGAACTTGGAGGCCATCATGGGCCATCTTGGGTTATTGTTCGGGTTGAGGCGTTGTGTTACGGTCATGGTAGATGACCTTGGTATCGTTCTAGCTTTGAGCGGACCTCGTTCTGGAAGGCCGTTGATCTGAACATGGCCGCGGAGGCAAGCACGCAGCCGCCCTAGTTTGGTGATTGTCGGTGGGTTTGCGCCTGCCGAACAATTCGTCAGAATCACCGTTCTAGGGCGCATATCCCTTCTCATCATCATCATCATCATCATCATCATCATCATCAGCACCATTGTCATCGCAATCAGCATCATCACCATCATCATCATCATCATCACCATCGTCTCCATCATCAGCGACCACTCGGAGGTTGTTGGGCCGTTTCAGGTGTACCAGAGACTCCTTGGGGTCAACGTGGAGCCCTCATGAGACTCAGCTTGGAGCTTCCTGGGAGCTCCCCATGGCACCCCGAACGCCGCGCCCCGTGACCCCCAGGTGTGCCAAAGAGACCGTCTGCCTATGTGGGCACAGAGTGAATGGTAAGTGTCGCGTCTCCAAAGAGCTTCCCCGCAGAGAAATCCGAATGTTCAATGAATGTGGCCACAGGGGCCCCAGCCACCGTCGTTTCAGCCTTAGTGGCTCAAGTATATATGTGGTTCGTTCACCGCCTGCCCTTGTGCGATTTTGGCGCTCAGGCTATTGCGATGGTGGTGTGCCTCCCTGAGGACAGCCCCGTGCGCCACAATGCGAAGTGGAAGTCGTGTTGCGCCAAGCTCGGCACCGAGTTCCCCACTTACCCGAATGCCCAGAAGGTGTCGTTCTTGTTCGCAGGGATCGGAGGACCAGGCCGAGCGATCCTGGAAGGTGATTGGCCAGTGCTGCCCGTCAACATCGTGGAGAAGCGGTCGGACGCCTGCGCGGTGCTCAGGCGCCTTCCAGGTCACATCGCGTGGCCCAACACCATCGAGTCGTACCCCCCGCAGACGCTCGACTCCAGCGATGGCTGCATTGGGACAGCTCCATGCATCACCTTCCCCAAGGCTGGCAACGGTGAGAACTTTTTTGTCTACCAGGGGAGTCTCTTCATCAAGCAGCTCGAGGCGATCAAGGAGTTGGCGCAGCGGAAGGATCGGCCGCTGAAGTGGGTACTCCTGGATAACGTGTGGCACATCATGAGTCTGAACGGCAAGACTCAGAAGCGCCCATGAGACTTCGTGCAGGAGTGGTGGCAGAACAACATGTTTGGCTGGACGATGCTTCTCCCATGGAAGGTAAATGCTGAGAGGTGCGTTCTACCTCATCACAGGGAGCGCTGCTTCGCAGTGGCCTACAAGCTCGACTACGCCGACGTCGTTGGCGGCATGCCCCAGGAGTTGAGGACCTTCGGGAACAACACGGTGAAGCTCGGAGAGATGCTCTACACCGCCGACGACGTGGAGGAGCATGCCACCAGGGACCCCACGGAGACGCAGAAGAGCAACATCAAGAAGTTCAACGCCCAGCTCGACAAGAATATTTCGGACGGCAGGATCGTCGTGCCCGCGAATGCCACGATGTACTTCGTCATCGATGCTTCCCGCAAGGGTCCAGGGCACGTGCGCGGACACAGCATCCACGTGGACAGAGTGCCCGCGTTGACGACAGTGAATCGCTACCTCTACATCCTGCGTAGGGGCCCCGACGCGTCCAAGGTGCCAGAGGGCGGCCGCTTCCTGGACATCAAGGAGCGGGCAGCAGCGTGTGGCGTGAAGTGGTGTAGCGTGGACGAGGCCTGCAGCACGCACCAGCACACCATCCACTTTGGCAACATGGTGCCCGTTGACATGGCTGGAGTGGTCCTCGCGCAGCTGATCATGGGGAAGTGGGCCATCTTCGAGCACATCGGGGTTTCCACGGGGCTCAAGCGCATCATCGACAAGAGCGACGATCCCGAGAACAAGCGCAAGAGGTGGAAGCAGGGGACTCTGTCGGTCAAGAAGGGTTAGACGGCCAGCATCTAGCCGTCAGTGGAGGTACCGCCCAGCGCTTCCAGCCTGCCAGCGAGCGCGGCAAGAGCCGGCAGCGTCTCTGCGCGACTGTGCGCGCAAGTTGTGTTCCAGATAGTGCGCCTTGCAGCGCGTCATCCCAGCAGGGGCCACAGCCATATCGTCACTCCTTCTCCTCCCCTCCTCTTCCAATCTCTTCCCAATCCCCAAACGCAGGACGGTTCCCCTCCTCCACGCCCTTCTCCAAGCCCCAAGCGCAGGACTGTTCCTCTCCTCCTCTTCCAACTCTTCCCAGCCCCTCCTCTCCTCCCCTCCTCCCCCCTCCCCTCCCTCCACTCCTCATTCTTCTCCTCCCCTCCTCTTCCAATCTCTTGACGGGGGGGCCTGAAGTGTGTCCTCCAGAGGCTTCGGGGTGACTAGCTTCTAGGCGGGGTTCTGAGAGAACTTCAGGAGGGCTCCGCGAGGGCCCTGCGAGAACTTAAGGAAGGCCCCAGAAGGCTTTCTTCAGGAAGGCTCCAGGGGGAGCAGAGGCCCCAGAAGCCCTTCTTCAGAAAGCCCCCCGCGAGGGACCAGAGTGGACGCGAGACCCCCGTGAGGGCCGTCATGGGCCATGGAGACAAGGGAATAGTCAATAACCAACTCATGCATTGCCGTTGTGTTGGTTTGCATTGCCGCGCAGTGGCCCGCTAGGGGCCCGCTTGGTCGCCTCTCGGGTGTGATGGGGGTCTTCGTAACAAGCTATTTGGCTCGGGAGCGTGCGCCGTGCTCGGGCACACATCGCGTGACGAAGGCCCATTCGCCCACTCGCCGTCCATGGCGCTCGGTAAGTACACGTGCGTGAAGTGTGGCGAGGAAACTACCCTTGCAGCCAGCTCTGCGACAGGAAGAAATCAGAACGCTCGAATTGATCTCAAATGTGCATCCAATAAGCGGATTATGGAGCGCAGGGTCAAGAAGAAGGACCCGAACGACAAGCTCTGCTAAGTGGTGGAAGGAGCTCCAAAACGATCCCAAGAGAGAGCAGGCGTGGTACAAGAAGATGAAGACCAAGGATAAGTACAGCCAGATGTCCGAGGATCATATCATGGCAGAGGAAGAGGAGTCCCAGAGTAGGGGTATTGAGCAAAGAGATCGCGCTCAATACTTTGGCTACGACACGGTTGTGGAAGAGCACCCCGACTGGACAGAAGAGCAGCTCATCGAGCACTGGAAGAATCTCGTGGCGAAATCGAAGGACAAGATCACGGACGAGAACGGCGAAGTCTTCATTGCAAAAGCTCTTGTCGACCACGTGAAGAACAACATGGCCACCTCCCGCGTCAAGCGTCAGAAGATCTGCAACAACGCCGACGACTTGAACGCTGCGGTGGAGGATAACCTGAAGTCTATGGATCGATTCTGGCGTACTTTGAAGCTCTCGCGCCCCATCTCGATGACGGCCATTCCGTTTGAAGCGAAGCAGGTGGACACCATCGGCTCTAACACCTCCGAGTCCATCACGAACGCCCTCAGCAAAGCGGTCATGCAGCAAACCGTTCAACAAAATATGATGCAGCAACAGATACGGCAAGCTCAGGAGGAGGCCGACATGATGGAGGAGGTGGCCGATGACATGCAGAAGATTGCCCAGGCGCAGCAGGAGCAGAGTGAGCAGGCCAGGCAATCACCCAGTGCCCAGAGGACTGCTTACACGACCCTCAAGACGTGCCTGATCGAGACGTCGGCGAAGTTGAACTCCAGCATCGTGAGGTTGCGGAACGACCTCGCGCAGCCCGAGATGGACCTGTCCGCCATGGAGGGAGAAGACGCGACGACGACCAAAGAGGCCGCGGGGTCCATCAAGCTTTCTTGGGGCCAACTCGTGTTTCTACCGAGCCAGGTAGGTCTCCCGCCCTCCCCCTCCCCCCTCCCTCCCCCACCCTGTCTGAAGCTCTACCGAGCCACGCTTCATCTCTCACTCCCTCCCCGACCTTGCTCCGGCACGGGGCAGGGAGGCGAGAGACGGGGCATGGCGGCGAACGGCGGTGGGGAGAGGCATGGGGGGGCGACGTGGGGCGGGGGCGGGCGACCTAGCCTGGCAAGGAAGAGACACGATGGGATGGAATCACGATGGCCCCCGCAAGGATAACGCCAAGTTCGAGGCGAATGCCAAGGATGCCTTCAACACCTACACTGAGAATGTGAGAGTGTGGAAGGAGACTTATCAACTCGACAAGCTTGCCCCCAATGGTTCCGTCGCTGGTGACTTGGCGAACCTCTTGCAGCCCGCCCTGGATGACTTCAAACGGTTTTCTCGAAGGAGGGTCACGCGAAGCCGTTCCGTCTCAGGATGGCTGAGTGGAGGGCCTTCGCAAAAGGGGTTGAAAAGAAGAACAAGGCGTTGGAGAAGGCCCAAGCAAAGTCGAGTGCGGCCCGCAGTAGGCTCAACGCTGGGGCGCAGCAGGGGGGCGACGAGAGCTACGCGCCAGCGATCGAGTCCCTCATGCCCGACGTGCTCGACGGCCACTCACTTGACGGACTGGGCGTCAGCGACAAGGTGGCCGACTTCAACCAGACCAAGGCGGTGAAGTTCAAGGTCGATGACCTGGGCGTGATAGCAAACACTGGCAATTACCAGACGCAGGTCAAGTGGGCCAAGGCTACCATGAGCAAGGATGGCCTCGATTCGATGGTCACCGAGATCTCCAACAAGAAGCTCAACGACGTCGTGAATAAGATGTTCGCAGGCATGGACTCGCGCATCAAGCCTGCTTCGAACTTCTTCATCACGTTCCCCCCGGAGCATGCGTAGCTGAAGAAGGCGATCGTTGATTATCAAATATGCGTCTACGACGGGGGCTACAGTGCAGTGAATGTGACGGCGTTCTGTCTCCCAGAGGTGATTTGCTGTGTCCCTGGAGCCATCCACCTGGTCGGGTTGAGCCTGGATGTCGTCGACGGAGACACGGTGGCGAAGAAGCTCGAGGCAGTCAACAACTACGACAAGCGCACCGCGATGAAGATCGCTGCTAATCGGGGCTTCGCTTTAACGGTCGTTCAGGGCACAGTCGCAGCCATTCCAGGGGGCCTTTTGGTTTGCACCTTCGTCGCTGAGGACTCCGACGGTTGCGATCTGGTGCGCTACAGCTTCATGCGCCGGGACGACTACGAGGCCTGCCACGTCGCTCTGACGGGGATGCTGCAGTCCTTCGACTACTCGGCCAGCACCGACTACAAGACGGTGAAGAACCTGATGGAGGGCAGCCTGGCGGCTGCCACCACGTCTTGAGCCAGGCCGCACTGCGCCGCCGCGGCTCGGCTGGATAGATGCGCGGAGGGATGGAGGGAGGGATGCAAACGCGATGAAACAAACAAAACACGCACATAGCAATGGTGAAACGGTTTATTTAGCGTGCTCGATAGGGATTCGACTCATGGCACGCCCCGCTCGATTCTTGAAACAATGACCTTCCTTCGAAGCCACCCGAATTACATACCATGGCCTCCGGCACACTCCGCCACCGTGCTTGAGTTGTGGGTTGTGGGTCTGGGGCCTCTCGGGTGCCTGTCGGGGTCTCCTTTGGCAGTCTCCTGGAGAGAGTAGTAAGGCTTCTTCTGGGCTGCGCGCGGGGGCCTCTGGGGTCCATTTGGGGATTCGCATGGCCGTTCGGGCGTGTTATTGGGGGGCTACCTCGGGCGGAAGCCTTGAACTCCAAATTCTTGACGCTTCGCGTATCCCCACCAGCCCATCCACGATCGACGCTCAGGCGAGTTTTGAGGTGATCAGGGAAGTGTGGGATCGAAGAAGGGGATAGCCGAACCATGCGAAGGAGGGAGGAGGAGGAGAAGGAGGCTGGATGGATGAGGGAGTTGGGAGAAGGATGATGCAGAGGATGATGATGAAGAGAAGGAGTAGAAGGACAAACATGATGAGGATAATTAGGAGGAAGAGGAGGATGTGGAGGATAATGAGGCAGGAGGGGAAAGGACGAACAGAAGAGCCAGAAGCTTCTTGAATGACTCGGAGTCTCCTCGGATGCCCCTTGGAAGCATTTTGGGAGCCCCCAGAGGACACCAAGAGGGCCCCAACACGACCCCAAGAGGGCCCAAGAGGGCCATAGAAAATGCCCCCCAGAGGAATCCACGGACCCCTCCCTTGGGGGAGTCCACGGACCCCTTTTGGACACCCCAGAGGGGGGGTCCGTGGACACCTCTGGGGGCCATTTCTGGCGGCTATTTTGGAACCTTCTTGGGGCCGTCTTGGGGCCCTCCTGGCCCTCTCTTGGGGCCCCTCGGGAGCCCTCCCACCCTGTCTTGGAGGGGCCCGAAAGCCCCAAGATGGCCGCGAGAGCACCTCGGGGGGCCCAAAAGGGCCCCAAACCGTATGTACTTGATATGTTTAATGGGCTTTCCACAGGGGCACCCAAGTACATGCGTCATGGGGCCGTGTCGGGGCCCCCTTGGGGCCCCCCTGGCACCCTCTTGGGGCCCTTCTGGCCCCTCGTTGGGCTGACTTGTCCGCGGGGGTGGGGGTGGGTGGTGGTTGTGGTGGTGGTGGTGGTGGTGGTGGGGGGGGGGGGGCGCTGCTGGTTTTGGTGCCATGCGCATCGTCGCTAAGTGCCTGTGTGTGCGTGCGCGCGCGTGGTGGTGGTGACGGTGGTGGTGGTGGTGGTGGTGGTGGTGGTGGTGGTGGTGGTGGTGGTGGTGGTGGTGGTGGCGTGAGTGGGTGGGTGGGCGGGGGCGGGTGGTGGGTGGGTGGGCCCAGGAGCCAATGGGCTAGGGGCGGTGCAGATCATTTCCCGTTGTTCGCTGCGGCCAGCGTGGGGCCGTATATTATGTGGCTGTTGTGTGTTATCACTCCGTTTGCGGGGCTTTGCCTCGGGCTGATAGGCACGTGGGGAAGTCTGGGACTGGCTTCCAGTGGCCGTTAGCGAGCGCGCCGTGCTCACTGTGGTTTGCAACGTTGCGTGGCCGTCGCAGTCATGAGGCGTCTCCGATAGAATGCAGACCCGTTTTTCTCGGGGCTGAAGTGGTTGCACTTTGGTGAAAATGCGCCCGATGTCGTTTACCACGGGCGCCGCGTGCTCCTTGAATGCGTTTTCAGGCAATTGCATTGTTTGGCATTGTTTGGCATTGTTTGGTATTGCTGTGTTAGACAGCGCTTCGAACTCATCGTTGGGGCACCCGCGCCCTCGCATTTTGCGCCGCATATGTTGGCGCGCGAAATCGTTGGAGGACACAACCTGCGCTACATGTGTTCATGTTGAGTGCTTGAAAGCCAACTTGGTCATCTCGCGAACGCGGTGGCGAAATCGAGACTCTTGACATTGCCACCAAGGGTTCCCGCTCACCCCGAGGGGGCTCGGGGCAGCCGAGCCCCCCTATCTCAGGAGTCAACGCCGCCTGCAGGGCGACGCCCGCTTTCTGATCCATGCCGCGCGCGGGTGTTCCACTTTCTTTGTGTGCGTCGGAGCCCGACTTCTCGGGAAGGAGTTCCACGCGCTGCTTCGGGGACGGAGCCCGCGCGCGGGCCTGGGCGCCCGCGCCCGTGGGCGGGCCCCGCCGCTCAGCAATCGGATAGCACGTGGCTTCGCCGCGGGCTCGCGCGAATGGGCCAGGGGTCGGATCGCCCAGGAGAGCCGCCTCGGGGTGATCGACTTCTGGCCAGCCCCCATGGACGAGGCGCAGGCCGCCATGCCCCCTCGCCCCCATCCGGCTAGGGCCCGCCCCCGATGAAGAGATGACCGAGGAGGAATGGGCGCGGGCCGCCCGCCGCCAGCTGGCACCCTTCGCGCAAGTATATATGGGGGGGGGAACGCTGGGCTGATAATTAGGGTAAAGGCCTTGAGCACGCTGCGCCAAGAATCAGCCAGTCAACTTCGCCCGCTGCCCTGGAGAAAGGCAACGCAGATGCGGGGGGAGCTCGACGCCCGCTGGCGGGATGAGCAACGGGCAAAAGTCCCGGGCAGCCTGGGGGAGACGCAGGAGCGCCCCACCCCCTGGCCTTCAACGCGACCAGCTACACAGGGAGGGGAGGGGCGAGACTCCGTTTCCCCGGCACGAAACCCCCAGGAGGCCATCCACAGGAGAGACCCCCCCCCGCCTCCGGCAGGAGGGCCTGCAGAGGCGGGGGCCGGGGGCGCGCGCCCTTGGGCGGGATGGGCGGCGAGGGCCCGCAACGAGGTGACCTCGCTGCGCGGCGCCCGAGGGCGCCCAGCACGGGCGCGGCATTCACGGGCACGGGAGAGGCGCCCCCGGGCCCAGAGGTTTGTTGGAGCGCCGCCGGAACGCATCCCCGACCGCGCCCGGAAGAGGAGAATGGAGGGGGGGGAAAAGACGGAGGGTAAGAAGTTCTGCCCGGGCCCCCCCTGAGGGCGCGGCGCCGAGACCTCGGGCCCTAGTCGACCAGGAGGTGGCGCGATGGGAGGCCGCCCTGGCGGCGCCCCCGAGGGGGCGAGCCGGCGGGGCCGAGGGCATAGGCGCGCGAGCTCCGCCCCGCTCCCTTCGAGGGGGGGGAGGGGGGAGTTAGAATTTTGGCATCGGCTGGCTTTCTCGAGTATCTTCCAGAGGCGATATGCATGCATGATTTGCCTCCTGCACCTTAAGTGCAGCCTTCTGGCTTAATCAATTGAAAACATACTTCGTCTTCGGGTCGATAATTCTCACGCCCAGAGATTGATGCGCATCGATCGCATTGGATTCCGATGTTCATCGATATCCGCATTTCGGTAGCGGAGCTTTCCGCGGGCACTTTTCCAGGGGCCATGCGCGCGCGCGCGAGCCCTCAGAGTAAGGCAGAAGAACGACTACCACAACGGATTGGATCTGATATACCTCATATACGAACGACAGCTACGATTACGACGCATTGGATTGGATATACATCACCAACAACAGCTACTATCACGACGGAGTGGGTCAGATATACATCAGATACCAGCCATAATACATTATTATCTTAGCTGGATCAGATATACATCGCGCTGCAGCAGACTACCGCGACAAGTCAGCTTGGTCTTCGCCAGTGCACGCAGGGCGCGCCACCAGGGTGGTGACCGAGAGCTTTCCCGACTAAGGAGTACACGGGGTATCTCCCTGTCTGGGAACGCTTTAACAAGCTCGACCAAGAACATATAGGCCCTGCGATCATGCTGCGATTTGCAGGAGGGGCCCGACGCATCGCGCATGGCTTGACCATCACGAGACAGGACCTGGACCTCGGCAACACTGTAGAACACGAGGGAGTGGTAGCAGTCTCGCTAGATGTTCAAACGCTACTTCACGACGCCAGTGGAATTAAGTTGCCCCAGCTTGCCCCTAAGAGTCAAGGTCTTGATTGCGAAGCTCACGGAGCTCTACTACCTTGACGACCAGGACCTAGCATGGACCAGCCTGGACATGCATCTTGCCATTGACGTTGTCGAATTGGAACGTCGTTCTGCGGAAGCTGATAAACGTGGTCGTCTTACCATTGATGATAGCGGAAAGGCCCGGTTATTTTTCTCAAGATCCGGATTGCCAGATCGACAGGTAGCCGATTTACGAGTCAAAGTTGGCGGCGTTTGTTCAATGCATCGCGAGATGATAGCTTGCCAGATGAAAATCTCCAGGATTGATGCGGCCAGCTGCGATCAGTCGCAAGGCTACAGACAATATCGCACACAGGACTGCGATGGTGAGACTGGGATGATAAAGACTACCACGACGAGAACGACTGGCCGAATGATGATTAGTACACTACTACTACTACTACTACTACTACTACTACTACTACTACTACTACTACTACTACTACTACTACTACGA